GGATCTGTAACGGAGGTAGATGACGACGACGACGATGATTGGAGGCGGCGATGGTGCGGTGAAGATAGCGACTGGATGGCGCCCAACCATCTGTAACCCTAGCCTCATCCTGATTCTTTTCATCATTTTGTTACCCCGATGCTGATATAAACGAAATATTGATAGGTTTTTTAATTTAACTTTTTTTGTTCTATACTTATTAGTGGGGGATAGTTCCGCCGCTATTTTATTTCTTATTAGTGGGAGAAAAGTCCGCCACTAATTTAATTCTAATTTTAAAATAAATTTAAATTTCTTTTGTATCGCCCTTTTAAATTTTAAATTATTCCCCTAGTTATGATCGTTAAATTTATTTCAATTAGCTGCGATACTAGTGGCGGAAAAAGCTGCCACTAAATAAAATTTTCAAATAGAGGGTAAGTAGTCCCCCTCTATTCTGCCGCTAACTAGAGGCGAAAAAATCCCCCTCTAGATGTTTGCAGCTAATACGCGAAATTCTAGTAGTGATTTCATCTCAATATTATGAGTTACTCCGATCCGTACTACGCATATTTTATAACTAAGTAAATATACAAACAATTTTAAATTTAGAAATTACACAAATATAGATTCGTAAAACTAATTTATTAAAATTTTAAAATATTTGCCCTAATTTGGCCTAAATATATAGAATTATCATTACTTTTCTTAAATCTAACCGAACTTACCCTAACTACTTTCTATAGGTTATCCATTTTGACATTTCTTTAGTCGTAGCTACTTGTTTCAAATGTCGATGTTTCACCTTAGCTTGTTCAAACTTCTACACTTTTCCCTCCCGAAAAACAAAGAATGAAATGTTTTGCGACAAAAAGGAACTACTCTGTAAAATTTAACTTAGTGTGTAGTATTCCAAAATAGATTACACGGTTACTCCGTACGATTTGGGCTCTCGATAATTTTATTTGTTTTCAAATTATTATTTATAATTTGATTAAACAAAATATTTCACTCACCACTTAATATTCTTGTCCCAAAATTAATAGTGTGAAACTAGGATACCACCTTGAAGCCAATTAACAAGGAATTGACAATTTGGAAGCCAACAAGCCATACTTTGTAGTACTCCGGGCATTAGTTACTCCGTATTTTTTAGGCTCGGAGTTGGATCTTTTTTTTTTTTTTGCAAAACATCAAGTATGTTTTTATTCTAGTGTTCAGATCATAAAATAAGGATCATCAAAAAATTTATCCCGCCATTCAATATTTTAATACTCCACAATAGTTAGAACAACATAATTTTGGGTACATAATACAAGCATGCTTATACATACACTTTTGATTTATTTATATATATAGATAGAACGAAACCATAAACATTATTTTCTTTAAATATAATTAAAGTATACTCCGTACATCTCTAGCTAGCTAGACATTTATTTATTTATAATTACTATGTGTCACACACATGTTTAATTTGTTGCATTACTATATAGCATCTAGTAGTGTACGTACGTGTAAATTAAACAATATAATCATACAATAATGTTGCATAATTAATTAATTAATATAATTCATATACTTTTGTTCTCGCAATAACACTGAAATATGGGAGTGCATGAGCCATAAGGGTAATTGAAGCTGTTACACCATTCCTGGCATTGCCTGTCTTTAAAGAAACATTTTCCCACTTTGCCACACTTGGGATATTTTTTCCCACCTTTGGACCACAATCCTGCTTCTCGTGTGCACATCCCTGCTTGTATTGCATGTAGACATATTTATTTACGAGTATTTATTTATGGAAATTTAAAATAAAATCATACTTATACATATATATGTGTGTGTCTGTGTATATATGGTACAAAATTTGTCATAATGTGAATTAATGCATTTAAAATTATTCAACTCACTCCTAATTTGCACATAGCTAGATGTTAACTAAAAAAATATTGTACTCCCTCCGTCCCGTAAAACTTTTCACCATTCGCATCTTACATGTCCCATAAAACATTTTAATTTCATCTAAATTGACATAATTTCCGTTACTTTTCGTAAATCT